TTAATAGTATAAACTAGCAAAAACTAAAAAAAATCGCCTATCCTCGGATCTCATCGTACCCGCACTTTAATTTTTTGATTTTCTCTTTTTTTTTTACTTTCACTGCACAACTTACAGTTCCACGTTTTCACTTTAAGCACTGTTCAATAAAGATGAAGAATATAGTCGTTTTCATTTCACCGTGAAAGAATCAATATTAGTTGGCATCAAACTTTTATAAAATTTATTATTTCATTTTCTTCTTTACTGGTTTTTCATGGTTTATCACATTTTTAGAAATTCAAATCCAGTATTTGAAATCAACCGAACACATGCAAGGCAGTACTCAATAACTTTAAGTTAGGCTAGTATAAAGTATTGTGGGTACCCAAACAGTGCATGATAGAATGATACATAGATAGACACATAGTATACATTTTTAAGTAGATGTTTAGTAGTGTGCCTRCACGCAATGGTGAGTTCTTTTCTTTTGTTCAAAGTGCTTAAGTTCGGTTTACAAATAATGAAGTACTTTCTAGCAGGCACAAGTTCCGCAACGGTTGGTTGCGTTGGAATAAGGGGCAGTGCGCGCAATTATTTTCCAACTAATAGAGTAGTCTCTGCAGTTGCAGAGAGTGGCTATTCAGAATGTGTTTATTATCTGCGTCGATCTTTTTCCTGATGCTTGACATGCAAGAGTAGCTGATCTTGAATGTACTTTGGTTGAAGATCTTTTGCAAGGGGTGATCTTTTTTGAAAGTTGAGTTCACGATGTGGAGAAATGTTTTGCCGATGTTAATATTAGTATCAATGTGTTTGCTCAACGAAGGGTTGTACCATGTTATATTTCGAGGGTGGCTTCTTTTTTCTTTGCTGGTCATTGTTCCGTTTTATATCGTGTTGGAGTTGGCGWTCGCAGCCACGCTCTTCCAGAGCTTTTTGGTAGATAACCGCGGCCTGATCGAAGGCCCTTCTTTGGTAAAGAAGGTCTCATTTAGCCTTCTATTCATACATAGAGGAAATTCTTTAGAGGAAGATATTGCTCTCTTTGTGTACACATAACGGCGTGTTGTTTGCTTTGGTGTATGTTGCGTACGATCCCTTGCGTAAGTCTAGCGTGACATCAAGAAAGTTGACAACTTTTTTGTTYTTGGTTCGATGAACATTTTTAGCCCATTATTGTTGAAAACACTACAGATCTTCTTCTTGATGTACTTTATTTGTCGCGGGTACTCAGAAAAGGCACCTTGACCGTCGTCCCTGTGGAGGCCTAATTCGCATTTGATGTTGTCTRGTAGTTGGAATAAGAGAAATGTTTGAGTTCGCATGTTTCCGCTCCGTCGTATGAACCCGTGGTGACGTCAAATAGGGTGGAGGATTCTTTCTTGGCCATGCGGTGTTGCCATTGAAAAGAAGAGATTGTTTGGCTTGCACTAGATGTATTTGTCGCTCGGAGTTATTTAGATAGATACATAGATCGACGAAAAGGTAGAACTAAAGCCAGACTAATTATCTAAGACTAGCCCGACTGAGTGAGTAATAAGTTTAAACCTAATACGTCGGAACTTGTAACTAGGGCTCGATCAGGGGTGGGGGAAGTTAAACAATGTTTTAAAGCATTTTGCAGGGTACCCAAACAGTGCATGATACATCGACATATATAGATAAATACATAGATTGACGAAAAAGTAGAACTAGGTACTCATCAATGGAAACTTCAATATGAGTTCCGAATTTCCCTAAAACCTCCCTGGGGCATACAGGGATACGGTGGATACGATGGGATACGGTTCTACCATTCACCCGAAAAAAGATTCCTAACTCGCTTCGATTTCCCAACTCCTATTGGCCCTCAGTTTCCCTCATTCATACGTTACTTTATAATATGAAGATCATAAGACTTGTATGGAATAATTGACCCCTTTACGGCTTTCTCAAGCGTACTAAATCCAACCATATAGCTGTACGGATTAGGGTCCGTTAAGCCAGAGCACGCCGTCTCATATCATTTACAATTTCTGAAAAATCAAATCACATTTTTTTTTGTTCAAGCGACGCGTTTTTGCATGATCAGTATTAGGCATCTATAAGGGCAACGGAAAATGTTGGATTGTTGTGTTTGTAATTATAGATCAGCATGACGAACTATTCAAACATACGGATTACATTCATAAAAATACTACATCGCATCCTGCTCAAATTTCGATATGTAATGAAATCATATTTATATGCCCTAAGAAGAAGTAATTCCTAATGACTCGTAAAAGCTATTAGTACAAGACAATGGGATGGTTTCGGGGCTTTTCAGCCAAAATATCAACATTAGGAAACTTTAGGCTATATATACTAGTACTTCTATTATTATTAATCGCATAATTAATAGCCGTACAAGACGTATTTATAGCTGTTAGAGGAGTTACTTGTAGAATACTGAATAAACGTAGAACAAACCAGAACAGTCTCTCGTTCGGTGTCTTTATTAACTAAACCTCGTGTAGTTTCATTACCATAATAATCTACATTAATTAGCATAATTTATGCAGGTCACTACATCCCTCCCAACATTGGATAAATCAATTCTAATCAATGAAATATAATAACGACAAACAAATCTTAATAAATACATAAACATGACAAAATTACAAATAGAATAAATGTCACTGAGTGTTCAGTAAGTAATGTAGTCTTTCAAGTATGTTGGCAGCCTTTT